CAGCCAACCTTGTCACGGATATTACATGTGAACTGAAAATTATTGATTTTGGTCTTTCGCGGAATGTCACAATGCCGTACTATGAGCTGACGGATTATGTCATCACACGCTGGTACCGCCCACCGGAGCTGCTGCTTGAAAACAATTATTACACAACAGCGGTGGATATTTGGTCTGTTGGATGTATCATGGCGGAGATGTACACGCGCAAGCCGGTGCTTCGTGGTCGTAACACGCTGGACCAGCTACGCCTGATTTGTACTCACATTGGGAAACCACCGAGTGAGATGGTCAACAACCCCGAGGCGCTGGACAAACTGCATGGCCTTCCAGACGGATCGCTGGAAGTGACTGAACTGGTGCCGGGATTGACGGACCCGGAGGCAATTGACATCCTCACAAAGATGTGGGAGCTTGACCCAGCCAAGCGTCAGTCAGCGGCGGAGCTGCTTCAGCATCCCTTTTTGGCGGCCCTGCACGATGAACAGGATGAACCCGAGTGCCCAACACTCTTCTCATGGCCGTATGAACAAAAGGAAATGAATGATAGTCTTTTGCGACGGGCTTTCTGGGAGGAAATTTGTGCTTTTAACCCCCAATTGAAGTCGCAAATGCCCCCTGCTTCTCCTTAGTAAGTGCGGAGCTAAACTTATCCGTCTGTATTTAATACATGTATGTATACCTAGATCCGTCTCCAGACATATACATGTGTGTTTGCGTGTATTTAGAAGCATTGTATTCATACCCTTTTATGTTTTGTTTGTTGGTTTGATTTGGTTTTATTTTTGTTGTTTTTTTTGTCTACATTTTGCTTTTTTTCATTTTTCTTTGGTTGGTTGGTTGGTGTTTGTTGATTGTTGTATGCGTATGTCTACTTCCATTAGGGTCGGGGACGATATAATATAATATATATATATACATGTGCACACTGTACCTCAATAGGAGTAGTGGAGGAGATTGCAGTCAACTGCATCCCTGCATGTCTCTTTTCCCCCCGTTTCTTGATGTCTTTTTTTATATATTTTTCACTTTTCATATTTATATAAATATATATAATATATATCATGTATGTGTATGTATGTATGTACATACATTATACACTATGCATTATATATAATATATACGTATACATGAAATTGAAATGGGCTGATGGAGAGGATATCGGAGCGCAATTGTTTAGTTTTTTTTGTTTGTTTTTTTTTTTGTTTTTTGTTTTTTGCTTTTACTTCTGCGATGTGCTTCTTTTTCTTCTGTTTTTGTTTGTTTTTTGCTGCCGTCGTCTGCCTCCGCGTGTGTGGGGGGGGGAGGGAAAGACCAGCAAGTTGTGTGCGCCAACAATATATTTATTTATTTTTCTGATATTTATATTTATATATGCGAGAGTTTTCCCTCCGAGACTTCTTCCTCTTCCTTCCTTGTTTGTCTGTTGGTTGTTGATTGGTGTTGTCCGCATCCAATGCAAGAGGGGGGGGGTGG